CGAATTTCGAATAAAAGAAAAAGCTTCAATAATTCATTTATAAAACACATTTATTGTATAATTCGAAAACCTGATTGATTTAGTTTATAATTATACTAGAATAGTTTCAACTATGCCCATTTTTTTTCTTAAAAATTTAAAATTTTTAAATTATTTTCAACCCTGGCTAGTTGACTTTAGCGCCAAAAATATTTTAGCGGGAAGTAAAAGTACTAAAAGTGAAACAGTACCATCTAGCGGTCAATGGCTAAGCGACAAAGATAAAGTTTTCTGTAATAGAAGTTACAGAGATCTTTCTTAACTGGCCAAAGAACCCACTACTCTCGGATAGATGTCACCGCAGTTGTCTTGTTAAAGAAAACTGTAAAATATATTTTCTTAGTTCAAGGAAACTCCGTGAGATGGTGCCACTTATATTTTTCACAGATTTCTTCCATTTAATAATTAACCTATTGCTTCACAGATGTCACTGCAATTAAACTGTTGTAGAAAACTGTAAATTAGTTTTAGTTCTAAAAATATCCACTTGGAGAAAAAGGGCGCTGCAAACTGTTAAAATTTTGATTAAAATTTAATTATCTAGTGACTTGGGTGTTATTTTTTTCAGAAAAAAAAAAGAAAATTATGAAGAGGCATAAACATTAGAAAAGATAAAAAGAAAATCGGTATTATATCAGGTTAGACATTTTCTCTTTTTCTATAAAAATAAACTTTTAAAAATGTGCTTTGCAAAGTTTATTTGGCCACATAGATTCTGACCAAAACATCAATTATCTTCTTAGAAACGTTTAATTTTAAGGAACTACTCAGTTTAAAGTTTAACTATAGTTATTTATTGCTATTTTCTACATTTTTATATTTTTTAGGGCAAATAAAACACTGAATTTTGTTGAAAATTTTATTATATTTCATTTTTCCCTAGACATTATAAAAACAAACATTGCTTCCTATCATCTGGCCCTACAATAAAACAGAGCAAGGGCTATTGAAGTGAAATGTTCCTTTTCCGTCAATTTCATTGAACCGACAAAATTTCTTAAATTTTACGGAACACCACGAAAAATTATTAAATTACAATTAAACTAAATTGACTTAAGCAATATTAACTTAGACTAAAACATTTCACTTGAATATTTTATACATTTTCTTACATGACAAATCAATTATTATGATACATTATAGAGAAAATTAAAAAGGAAATTAAGTAAAAACTGGCATTTTCATAAAACACAAGTCTCATTCTTGAAAATCTTTGAGAATTTTCAAACATGAAACGTTCTGATAGTATTGTCCATCTTCTTTTATTAAAAAAATGTACAATAGGGTAGAAGTTCAGGGTTGTATCGCGTCACATTTGTTCTTACACAACTACCTATCCTATACATTTTATTTATCAGAACAATATTCAACAACACTAAAAATGATAAAAATATCTGCTCTGCTTATCCTATAGGGGAAGTATAGTAATTATGCTGAATTATATGCTTACTTAAAAAGTTAAAAAATAAGAACGGACCGAAAATTACAATCCCCAAACTTTGAAAAGCACTTTTAACAAGGCTATCGAAAATATTTCTCTAAAAATATCAAAAACTACACTTTTTGTACTTTGACTTGAAAAAAAACGCACGCATGCATTTTTTCTTAAATTCGACGACCTTGAAGTTTAGGGGAGGATCGATTCGTTTTTGGTAATTTTACGAAAAAATACGAAAACATAGAGAGAACTTAAAAAGGGAACAACTGTTTTATCAGTTAAAAACCGTGTTGCAAAATGATTACGAGGAAATTGGAGAACGTAGCTCTATAGGCGATTAAATTACTTTAAATTAAATTAGTTAATTAAAAAATAAGGGAAAGAGACATTGAGGTTTTTGTGCAGGATAAAAGGAGCGCAACTCATGTAAGTTTATATAGAACAACTCGCTATTATTTGGACACTGATATACTGATCGAAATGTCAATTCACGGTTTTAAAAAAATCTAGTCAATTGGATAAAAATAATTTTTTTTTGTAACTGAACCAGCAGCTAACAATTTAAGTTATAAAAATTAAATCACGTTAGTTAATATTTAAAACAAAAAACACGGCGTCACAGTAACCTATGGCGATGACAATAAGAGGTAATTTAATATAAAATTTTGTCAAATAATATGGGTACAAAATACTCGTCGAACGTAACTTCAAAGGCTCCCCATAACACACGTTTTTTTTTCACGTTTCGTTTAATTAATAAAGAAGAACAGTCTGAGACGGACGACGATCAGTATTTTGAACGGAAACGACTATACACTACTATACGGGGGGTGGGCGAAAAATAAAATTGAACGATACTCTAAATTTCTGAATCTCTTGCACAAATTCAGTCTGTTTTCGACGTACAAGTCCTTAAGTACACACTGAGACTGGGGGAGGTAAAAAACAATAATAATCTTAAAAACGAAGAGAGAAAAAATAAAAATTACACCGCTACTGAATGTCTATTTACAAAAAAAGCCCGGGCCAAGAGACCAAAAACCGGTGGTTTGTACCTATCGTCTTTCTCGAAAATAAATACTAATAATAACTGGAATTTGATTAAACCAAGACTCTTTTTGAGGTTATATTCGATTAGATTTGAAACGGAAGGCGATCGGTGCGAAAAGGACCAGCGCGTGTGTGAGAATATTTGGGGGTCTTCGGCCCGGTTAAATAGAGGGAATGAGAATAGATGGGTGTGAAGACGCGCCACAGTGGTTTACTCGTCTTCGTCGTCATCTACGTCATCATCGTCCTCGGCGATGTCATCAGGTACGGCTTGCTGTTGAAGAGCGGGATTGTTCTTCTTTTTGTATGCTGTCATTTCCTGCAAGGGTTAAAAAGAATAGATCAGTAACCAGTAATAACAGTCTAAAACGTACACAATGAAGACATCAAGTTTGTTTTTCAATGTGTTTCAAAAATCATGTGCCATCTCTCGTGGGTTAAATAAAGTAAAAATAAAATTATACAAATTTGCTTAACAAACAAAAAAATGCTTAACGTCTCGGCAAAAAAAAATACAAAGAAAAAAGAAAAAACTATTTAAAATATTTAAATTCAACTATTCGAGAACACTTTAGTTTTTATAGACGTATCTCTTTTAATTATTATTATTTGTTCCTTTGTATTTTTTTGCTTCCGACGACGGAAAGAGATAAACTTTCCGAAACGTTAAGCATTTTTTTGTCTGTTAGGCAAATTTGTATAACTGTAAACCTAACTTCTGACAAGTAGTTTCCGTTTGGGTTTAAGGCAAAAGTGTTTACAAAAAATAACTATTTTATTTTGTAGATTTTCTTGCAGTGCAGTGGCGAAATACCCATATAGGATTTTTTGGAGAGATGAATCCGCCACATAGGTATAGATATTTTTTAAAAACCATCATCTGGACAAAAACTATTATAAACGCGAAAATTGTGTACGTGTAGTCTACACACATCTACACGGTGTAGATGTTTGTTACTCTTTCACGCAAAAACTGCCGAATGGATTTTAATAAAACTTTACAATAACATAGTTTAGGACCGTTTGACACGGGACTTAAATTTAAGAACTGAAAAGTAGTTTGGGTTATATTTTATAAAATATTGTATGCAAGAAATATGTATGTATGTCACAATACATGATTACAGGTAGTAAATTTAGTACAAGTGCATGCGCAGAAAAGAGCGGGATTTATTGATTAAATTGACTTTATAATTATTAATTTTATTGACAACTTGGATTTGATGTCTGTTAGAGATACACATGGTCGAATCAGCATCAATTCTGAATGAATTTGTTCGAGTGCACTATTTCTGGCATATTTATTTTTGTATTCGATACTTTTTACTGCATATAAACAAGGGTGTTCCCTCTAGAGCTCTATAAGCATTTTTACCTGCTGCTGAGACCACAACATATTTTAATTTGAAGCACAAATTACAGCCAGTAAAAGCCTCACAATCGAACATAGAGCAAACATAAACAATTAATTTAACAAACATATGTAACATAAACATAACTACACAAAATTAGAGAAATGAAATTATGTATTGCGCATGTTCAGCTAATTGCATGCAAGAATTTAGAACGTGTTCTATTTTATTGCATGCAATTTGACTAAAAATGCGCGCGCAACAAATTGTATACAATTTAGGCTGGAATATTGTCCCAAAAAATGTGTCCTTATACATCACAGGCTATAATTATAGATATTGTGATATATTGTGTATGGCAGACGTGTATAATGGGTTATCACTGGAAAGTTTTTCTATTAAAAACATGTGTGCCACTGACTTTTCTTTTCATAGCAAAATTCTATAGGCAATTTAACCCCGATTAAAAGTTGTCTCTTGATATTTTGTCGATTTCGATCTCCTTGATGAGATAAACGCAATTTTATTAATCACAATTAATAAAATAAGAAAAAATGAATTATTTATTTAATTTTATTATTAAATTTTATTGAAATTTATAACACTAATGTACAGTGCTAACTACAGCAAATTCAAGACAAAAATAATGGTATTTAAGATAATTACAAAAGACCTATTTTTAAAGTTTTAACATCCTGTAACTTTAAAGCTATGCATTTCCACATCCATGATTATAAAAACATTTTTTCATATTTTTTTATGAAGAACCAGTGAGTAGTTATTTAAAACTTGGCCAGTTAATGAAATTATTTTTTTTAAAGATTGTATTAGTAGTTTTGGATTACGGAAAATTAATAAAATTGTTTATCTTATCAAGGAGACTGAAATCGACAAAATATTAAGAGACAACTTTTAATCGGCGTTAAATAACCTACACAACTGTGCTAACAAAAGAAAAATCAGTAGTGCAGTTTGTTTTTAGAAATAATATATTCCAGTGATAACCCTTATGCACGTCCCTGATGAATCTGTAGTATTAAAATATGTCTCACTTATAATATCTTTTACCCTCAAAATTTCATTCAAATCGCTTAAATCACTTTGAAGAAAATTATATAAAAGAAAAAAAAATGTTCACCCCCTGTAACTATGAAACAGAGCAGAATCGGACCTATGTTGATATGAAAAATAAATGTTATTTTTACATGATAAATCTCCCCGCGAGAGATGGCACATGTTTTTTGAAACACCCTGTGGTGTATTAGAGGATTTTCTGATTGTTTAGATTGTAATTTAAAATCACAGTAATAACAATAAATAATTAAATGGGAACTACTAAGATAGAGAACATACAATTGAGTCTATGGAGACTAGTGCACGGTAATGTTGGTATTAAAATCATCTGCCCCTTCATCTGCAGTAATTCCGCATTACATATTTCTTATTCAAATCGTTAAGAACTTAAAGACATACCCTGTAGATTATTATAATATTTATGACTGACTTTATAGAGAGCATTATTTATCTAAAACATCTATTATTGAAAAGGCTATTGATTTTATTTAGTTAAATAAATGTATTTCCTTAAAAAGAAAATTCATGGCCATAAATGTTAATAGAAATATAATTATCACTCGTAAGCGTTTTTTTTTCTTTATTTACCCACATATTTATATATATACATAGCTTTTCACAAATTAACAAAATTATCACAAGCAAATTTACAAAAATTTAACTAAAAGAATATCATTTGCTGGATCAGCTAGTAGGTACTGCACAAAATATTTTATTTATATTTACTTAAATAGTAATAAAAATAAACAAAAAAGCAATTTCGTGTCATTTCGAATTTTTAGTAAGATATGTGACAATTAGAAAAAAAATCTGTTTGAAACAATTTCTCCAATTAAGTAATGATTTTCATTTAAGAGGTTTTTCATATTGTTCATAACTTTCTTTAGCGCTAGTATTATAATCAAGAACTGTTTAGTATTATCAGTTAATGACTGATCAAACTACGCAAAAACAAAAAGTATATTAAAATATACTCCATCCAGAAAAAAATCCAGTGAAAAATATGTTCATACACATGATATGAAGTGTAACATGATAAAAACGGTGTCAGAGTTGGCTTGGAAATGAACATCGCTCTTATTTTAAATGTAAACTAATAAGAGTGTCATCAACCATCATTTCAAGTCAACATGACGCGTTTTCTTTCATTAATTTAAGACAGTTTCGCTATGAATGAAAATGAGGAGTGAATTACTAGCCAATCTAACTCCAATAAACCATCAGATGATTTATTAGATCTCTAACGCTGGACAGATTATTATAACAAGCTAAATTCATAAAATACTCTATAACAATTACTGAAACTTACCTTCTCATATCTGATTTTGTCTTTGTCAGCCAGAACATCGTATTTTGATCTGGTCTCAGGGTCGGCTTCGGCCCACCTTCTGCCCAATTCCTTGGCGATGTCACCAACGCCGTATTCGGGATTCGCAGCCTTCACTTTGGAGCGCTCGTCATTGCTGAACCAGAAGAAAGCAGACCTGCAAGAATAAAATAAACCATCAGAGAAAATCACCAAAGAGTACAATCTTAGTGTCTTAAGATGCGTCCACATTGCTCGCGAGCAGGCCGAACGAACACGTGAAACACGAAAAACATGGCAAACAGTCGCAGCGCCCCCGGTGCTCCACGTGCTTGCCAATCTCGTAAAATGCGTTTCGACTGTTCTGTCACGTTACATCAAAGAGACGCTTCGGGCCATGCGAGCATACTTTACGATGGTTCGAAGCGCTCGAGCTGTTTGAGTTGTTTGTTAAATTTTTAATTTGGTTTCATTCATAAGATTCGGTATTTACTGCAGTATGATGATATTACTATGATTTTTCTTTTTTTTTGTTCAGAATTACAAATTTGTGTTTAGTTCTTGAATTAATAATATTAAATATACCTTTAATAAAATATAACTCTATTTTATACTGCCTACTTATCTTAAACTGATCTTTGAGAACTTTATTTATATTTTGGCATACGCCTGGTATTATTTTTGAAATGCTTTGCTTGAAAACTTTGAATAAATAACCCAAACTGGTATGCGAGTCTCTAGGAGCAAAGAATGTTAATGTTATGGCCAATCTTTATTTAACTCTTTCTTTAACAGGAATACACTTCCTAAAAGTCGTATATTTCCTTTCTATACGGGGGCCAACTAAGTTAATAAGTCTTTCAAAAGCAGTTGCGGACATAATAATAAAATATTAAAAAAACATTCTGTGTGTTTGTAAACCGCGTAAATGTTTACTTTCACTGTGCTGGGATCTACTTTTGAAAGTATTAGACATCCAACACCTCCCTTTTTCTCTTTGTCTCTTTCGTTTTGCAACAATGATCGCACTAGCAGCCGCTATTAAAAATACTTCGGTATCCGGTATCCGAACAACATTACAATGTGGACGCCGTTGCTTGCGAGCCGCAAGATCTTGAGAAACACGACAAACAGGAAGCGAAGCAACGCAAGCATAATCAGAAGCAAGAGCGCGAGCAGGATCACAAGCAATGTGGACGTAGCTTTAGCGTACAGTTTATAATGTACTGAACAAAGAGAGAACAGTAAACACGTTGCCAAATGTATGAAATAAACCAAGAGACTGTGCACATTGCTAAGAGACGTGGAAGGGGATATAGCAGAGTCGTCGCGGTTGACCAGTCGACCCGATCAGTTCCTCGTACCTCTGTCAGTACTTAAAATTCTAGAGATGATTAGATTCATCATGCGTTCAGCATCACCATTTAATTACGTCTCGTGATACTATATGTTTATTTATTAACGAGTCGTTGTAATTTCCCTATAGCTTGTAAATTTTTAAGTGCAAGTTAGGAACACTTGCATTTTTGTTAAAAATAAGTGGATTGAATTGGTATTCGACAGTGGTCGCGCTATTAGAACTCTGAATTCAAAAATCGATATCTCGAAATCCATTAGAAATAATTGACTGTATTTTTTTTAAAAAACTTTCTTCTATTTTTCTGCTATTATATAGATTGCTGAAAATTGCTATGCACTAAAAGTAAATGGATGTTTTTTTTAAAGATCCCTATGCGATTTACTTCCACACTTATAAATACTGACCCAAAAGTAAGAGTTGCCAGTACGATATACAGGGTGTCCCATAAATAAGTGCAAGTATTTTAAGGGATGGTAGATCTCGATAAGTCAAAAATAACGGAGTTATTTTACTTTGAAAATTTCCAAAAATAGTATTTTTTGCTAAAATTTTGAGAACCACTGGATCTTTTCTGGATTTTCTTTCTTGTAAATTTAATCTACTACCTATGTTGCCATATTATGAAGAAATTATGTTCTTTAACTAAAAACTAAAAAAAAAATTCAAAA